ATCTATATGCCTACTAAGACTCTTCCCATTACAGTTTCTATCAATTTGCTGACTTACTGCTTTGCAGTTTCAGCTCAGCGCACATTACTGTGAGGAGTCTGCCATTTCACGTGCAGGTTCCTGCAGAGCCCTTAAGTGAAGAGCCCTGGAAACCCCAGTGACTTCTGCCTCATTGGTACCTCTGTCTGAGACCATCTCTTGGATTTATCCTATGTTACAAGGATTTCTTCAGTTCTTCTCTGGAAAGCTGGTGAGAAGAATTCATTCCTCCCTCCCCTGCCCATACTGTGATCCTTCCCTTTTTGTTTTTCTACCTCCTCTTGAAATACTTTTCTATTTAATCATGTTGGACTTTCTGTGGACTTTGGCAGAGTCTCCCCCGCACTTTGTTTTCAACCTGTTCTCATCCATAGTATACATTTAATACAAGCACCTACTGCATTTTTAAGAAAATCCTCTGTGATCTGCACACATCACACCCTTTTGATTTCTCTAACAGTAGCTCACCCATTTTCATGTAGTTTTAACTTCAGAGTATTATAGTAACTACATCTCATACAATATTACATGCATCATCTAGGATTAAAAATTTTGGGGGATTTTGTAACAAGTTTCTTCATGGTGACACTTCAAGCCTCTTGAAGTTCAGTCACTGCATCCCCTGCTATCACGATGCTCTACTATTTGCAAGGTGGTAGCTAAAAAAGAGTCTCCTATTGCACTTTCTACACTGCAAGCTGTTGAATTTCCTCCTGCACATCACAGCTTCCATCCAGGTCTGGTAACTGGTAATACAGCCTTGAATGCTCTTAATTGTGTAATGTAAATCACTGCCAAGGATTGTACAGTGTTTTACTGGAGTCAAGCAGTTAATGCACACTCTCACCCCAACTCCTCCATGTTCTGCAGTGTCGTTGGTGTTACTTTTGTTTCCACCGGCTTTCTCAATTGCCTATTTGATCAGTAGCTTCATTCAAGACCAACAGGCCCATCAGCTCTTCGATTAACACCGCACAGCACATACACTTTTGGTTTTGGTCTCTCTCATGTATTGTACTAACTGCAAAGCTTGGCTCCCAAACCCCAGAGCAGCGTCTTGCTGCAGTTCCTCCAGCTCAGCCCTGCTGCTCTCAGGAAACATGTGCTCCTGCTGTGCCTGTGGGAGAGGGAAGGTGAGACACACACCCCTTAGTGAACCAGGAACTCCCACCACCTTCCGCTGGGTTTGCAGCTGCACCTCCTGTTCACCTTCTCACAGGTCATCTTTGCTTCTTTCCAAGTCAGCATAGATCCACACAGCTTCATTACCACCAGTATCCCGAATACTAGCATTAAGAAGTCGTTTTCCTGCACACTCTACATCTCCCAGTTAACAAAGAACCTCTATGCAGGGTAATCCAAATCACGTAACCCAAATCCTCTCCTTCAGACTGCCTATCCCCTAAAAAAGTTAACTCAGCACTTGGAAAGACTGAAAAGGAAGACACTGAATGAACTCATTGAACACACTCATTTGGCAGTCTGGCCAGCAGTGTGTTTCTTCAGCAGTTCTTTGTTTAAACTTCTTCTGAATTACAGGTTTTGAACTAAAGAGTTTCAGGAAGTTGTAGGAAATGTCCAAACTTGGCTCTTGCTCAAGCAGATTAATTCCTTCTGGAAATTCCACCTGTGCAATAGATGCCGGGAACTAGTGCCTGCCCTATTCCAGATGTATGGAACGCTGCTCTGCTGCAAGTCTGGTCTAGTCTTCTGCCATCATGAGGAGACAAGACTTAGCTTCTGTTACAGTAAGCTTCCACTTGTCAAGAGTTTGCACAGTCTCTGCCTCCCTGCTTACAGCCAGTGCAGCTGAGCCCCACGCTCACTGTGCTCACCAAGCTGTGCTAGATAAGAAACAAAGGCTCCTCAAACCTATCATCTACCTCAAGCCAGTACATTCACCTCAAAAACTTGAGCACTCATGTTTACAATGGTACTCTTGCTTTCCAGGTAGCCTCTCAGAATACAGAAGCCACCAGCCACAGGGAGCAGATAAGCACATGGTGAGAGGCACAAGTGCCACATTCCCCAGATAAATGACAGGATTTTCAGTTTAGCTGCAGGATTTTAGGGAGACAGTAGGGATTTGGGAAAACATAAGAAGAAAGGAAGGATTACCAGACCCTACCAGCTTCTTGTCGTAAGCAAGGCCCCCACTGCAGCATCCATGCCCCCTCATCACGGACATGGAAGAGGTCTGATGAAAGCTATTGCCATGTGCAGGATGAAGATGGCAGCAGAAGACCAGACCTCCTCATCCGGCACTGAAGCATTGCAGGAGAGACTAAAAGGTTCACCAGACTACAGGCTAACAGTGTCTCCAGATCACATTTTTTGGCAGCAAGTAGCACTAAAGAAGTGGCTCTTCGGCAATGCAAGCAGCCAGTAACATGTGATTTATGAGTAAAATGGCAAAAAGGCAGAATAAGGAGGATTGTGTGTGATAAGCCCAGAATGCGCTCTCACCCAGCAGCATCTGGAGAGGATTTTCTCCAGCAGGCAGGGAAGAACTCGATTACATCCAGTTAACTGTGCTCTAAACTGATTATGCATGTGCCAGGCTAATGGATTACATTAGCAAGAGGAAAAATAACATCCAATCAATCTCAATTTACTGCAGACCACACCAAGGCCTGAGAGAAGAGAAACCGTTCTGTGAACTACCCCCACCGCCGCTGCATCTTTTCAGCTATCAAGAGAGACATGGCGTTACAACCCCTCTGAAGACTGCAAGAACTGCACTGATGCTTGCTTGATCCAGAGAAAGTTTTTTCCAGTATTTTCAAACACTGATTCTAGCTGTGCTGGAGTGAGACACCGTGAATCCAGCCATCCACTATCCCCTGCTAAAGGTTTTCTATAAACATGTCAGCAAGCAAATACATGGACCATTCAGCAGACTTCATGACTCTGAAGTGTGTTATTCTCCATCTAGCGTTTCACAGCTTTTGTGTCAGAAGCAACACAAGGCTGTAGCAGCTGAGAACTGCCCAGGTCTCTTACAAACCTGAAATGTGACAACTCCTCTTGCCTGCATGAGGAAAGCATTTCAGGAATCTTCTTTACAAGCATCTATGGCTGTCCCCAGGTCTCACTTTGTTCCCCACCCTTCCTCGGAGCCCCAGCTGCTTCTTTCCCAGCAGAAACCACTGTAGGTGAGGGGTCTATACAAACAATTTTTAAACGTCTGCAATGCGTATTTAAGAGAACAATAACATATGTTAAAACTCATAACAGAGCTTTTGAACAACTCATCTGCACCTCAGACTGAATTCCACAGACAGAAGAGATTCAGTTCCTCAGCTGGCTTTTTAAAGGCTCACTAGGACTATCCTGCCCATGTCCAAGCTGATTTACTCTCTCAGGTCTCCTGCACATCTGAGAGCAGAGGTTTATGTGTAAATCTGACCATTTTTAGAGCCAGTCTCTGCTGTTTTATGTCGGATCCCAGCTGAAGATGGTAACAGCAATCACACAACACTCTTGACCTCGACAGAGAGCTCGGCAAAAACCGAATCTGCCTCAGAGCACCTCCCCATCAACTCTAGGCAGGTCCAACTACCATAGTTCAAAGCAAACCCTCAACGATGCTCCTGGCTGTCTGCTTCCTCTCTGAATTTTGTGGAACTGCTCATTTCTAGGGAAAATCCAGGAGTTTTGACATCTGCGTGCACTGTGACATGGGTGGGCTACTGCACCAGCAGTTCAATGTCAAGTTTTAAATTCCCCTTACATAAAGAAAATATTCAAAGAAATAATTTAGAAGTACAAAATACAGTCTGTTTATGTATATATACTTCTATATGAAAAATGGCACCACATTTGGGGGAAATTAGGAAGAAAAGGATGAGGACAGAAACAAAAAATTAGGAAGAAAAGGATGAGGACAGAAACAAAAAATTAGGAAGAAAAGGATGAGGACAGAAACAATTAAAAACAACCCTGAGAGAAATGAGGAGACAATAAGCGGGATAGCATGTGTGAAGGGAAGGTATGCGGCTGCTTAGATTTATGGCAGTTCGTACCTGATTGTTCATAGTAAAGCCATTATGGGATGATTAGAGAAAAAGGTGAAGCTTTAAGTCCAGTGAAAATCAATAGGAACGTCTGCAGCAATTTTGCTGCACGAGTGAAAGGACTATTTACTGTATCCGGAGCTCCTCTTGGGTTACAGCCCACAGGGCTCAGGCCAGTGAGGGGAAGGGGTTATGAGTGAGAGAAACAAGTCAGGAAAGGGATGATGGTTATAAAAAAGACACCAAATGAAAACGGGCGGAAGAGGAAAGAAAACAAGATGGTAGTCACAGGCCAAATCCTGCCACAGATGGAAACCTGCAGTGCCTCCAAATCTCTGTACACACACACAGTCAAGTACATGCACGTTTATACAGGCTTTTCTTTGAGCCTTCTCCCTTTTCCAGCCTGCCAACCCTTTGCTGATCGCAACATTAATGTATACAGAACATAAAAGAACAGAGACAGTGGCCTTCTTCCTCCACCCCTCCCTTCTCCATCCACCCAGCTTTCTTCATGCCAGGATGAACACACTTCTCCGATGGCAGCAAAAGCATCCAACTGCTCGTGGAGAATCTTGGATGGGTTAACAGACTGCCTCATGGAAGAAAGCCAACAAAAGTGTGGCAAACACTGCCTCACGTAATGTTTTCAGCAGTGACTGTTGAATTTCTGTGCTGAAGTATCATTTATATGCAGTGCTAGAAGACATACAAACCTCCATTAAGGCACCTTGACATGAATACTCATTGGCCTAAGGCTTTAAGCACCACATCTGATACCAGAATGCAGGCTGAACTGTTGCACCATGCAAATGAGACTGGGTTTTGCTTGAGAGATCTGAGCAACTCATCTCCAAAGGATTACAACCCACTGCTGTTCAAATAGATTTTCCTTTGTTCCAGCACTCGGGCAATGAAGGAAGATGAAGCAAAGCCAACCCTTACCTTATACAGCTTCAGGCTGGCCTCATGCCTCGAGTTCACTGTGTGAAGACGCAGCTTCTCTAGACTGTTGGTGTAGTAGTCGCACGCATTGCATTTCAGGTGTACCGGATTCCCAATGGCCACACACTTCAGCCTCCATTCATTGGCCTTTCCACCCTCCTTGATATGTGCTACCAGCTGGTATTTCTGCACATGCTTGTCTGTCTTACAGTGGAGTTGAAAGTTTGCCTTGAGCTGTGTGTTGTAGCGGCACAACTTGCACTGGTACGAGTCCCCCATCACTGCCTTCCACTCATCTTCAGGGAGGCTACGCTCCACATTCATGTGGAGGCCCAGCATGTCCAAATTATCTGTAGTGAACTTGTTGCACACAGCACACTGGAACAGCTTCAGCGATGGGTCATTTGTTTGTGTGAAACTCTCACCCAGGTTCATTAACTCCTCAGACACCAGCTGTCCACCACCTAACCGCATGTCCAGGGGGATCTCTCCACCCACTGCATGAAGGAAAAAGGAGAGAAAGAGGTCAGAAAAGCTGAATTCTTTAGTTGCCTGAAGAGAAGCACACAGTAGAACACACACTGCTCTCGGTGCAACTCTTGCACCCATCAAACACACAGCAAGAGCTAAGCACACCATTCCTTTTGCCTACTCCTCTGTGCTGCTGGTCAGTACTGTATGCAAATAAAAAAGCAAGCACAACCAGCATGTAAGGCTGGGAAGGGACCATGTTAGCTCTCGCTACCCACCCACTGAAGAAGTATCCAACCCTCTGCCCCTGAAAACGGCAAGAAAAACCCGACAGAGTTTTGGAGGCCATAGAATTTCTTAATAGCACGCTGAAGCCTCCATGGCCATTTCACGAACAGCATAACACTTTGTTTTTTTCTTGCCTACCTAGAGAAGCAAGAACTGTTACCTCACACAGTGCCAGAGCATAGTACCTGCCAAATAAAAACAGTCAAGAGCCCCTGGTCCAAATGGTGGGAGTACTGCAGCTTGGTCAGCACACTGCCGTCACAAGTAGGTAACAGAATGTGGCAGTTAAAAAAACAACCAGGAAAGTGCCACTCCTGTTATTATTAGATCTCACCTCTTGCCCAACAGTTCAAAATGGTGCACAGACTTCTAAAAATAGTGTTAACAGACGCTCTGTATGCCCAAGGAAAAGACAACCACTATTAACGAGAGTGCAAGAGCATGTCAAGGAAAGCCAGCAGGATGCTTACTAAGTGTCAGACCTACCCTTCAAACCATGAACTGAAGTCTATTCACTTACAGTAAATGAATGCAGCAAGCTCTTATTTACATCAGCACTCTGAAGATGTGGACACAGAGACCTTTTTCTAACAACTTTTCATGCCAAAGCACAGAGACCAACCAACCACCAGCTTCTTCTTAGGACCTTTGCTTCACCTTGCTCTCCATTTCCGTTTTTAAGACATTTATGCTCTTCCTGAAGCTTGCTGGTATTTTACCTTGATCTTACGTCATAGCTCAGCTTAACAACCTTATTAAAGGAAACTTTAGGTCAACAGTTACTCAGTCAATCAAAATGAGGTATTTTAACTTCCTTTTAATTTACAGCTTTCTCTGTTTCATCTTGTTTGCTGAGAAGCCAACATGCAGAAGACTCAAAGTTCAAGCAGAACTGTATTAACCTTTCCGAAAGCAGAGAATCACAGCTGGTGCAGACCACAGCTTTGGGCAGTGTATGCCCAACTATCTTTCCTGCAGAAATGCAACACCACAATGCTCGTAACAGTCCTGATCAGGATGAACTACAGCTTACAAGGCAACCTCAATGCTGAGTTTATTACAGGAATAGCACCTCACTGTCATCAAGCAGATCCTGTGATCACACAGAGAAGCACTGGCTGCAGAAGGAAAATCCCATCTACACACACTGCCAGGAACCTGTCTTTCCATGAAAGCAGCCAATGATCTTTTTTCTTGATCTGCTCTATTCCTCCCTGCCACGGCAGAATTATACCTTCCGTTCCTGCTCACTAAATACCTGAAGAGCAGGGAACCCACCACTTGCCTGCTACGGTCCATGTCTCCTAATCATAGTGACTTTTCAAAGCATCCCTTTTGGCATCTATCCTGAAATTCTCTCTTTAAATCAGTCTCTCTTGAACACATCATGCAGTAAAAACTCAAAGGCAGACTCTTCTGAATTATTAATAGTCTACTTAAATCCAGTTTTGGACTGAAGTGTAAAAATGTGAAAAACTGCTTCACTTCTAGCAAAGTTCATGGTGTGTGTACAAGTCTAATGAGCTGAGCTTGTGTCAAGTGCTTACTGACATGGGAAGGGCCTCCCTCCATAATCCTCATCTTGAGATTTGCAACTGTCAAGTGTACCATTCATAAATCACTCCCCAGGCAAGCTCATGTACACTCAAGGCCTTGTCATGCACTTTAGGAGGCTTTTGTTCAAATCCTCCCAGTTTCTGTAATGCCAAGTGCCCTGTGCTTCAGTGAAGAGATGCCATTAGCTCCAGTAGGGAGCCTTCCAAGAAACCCACCGCCACCAACACTAACTTTATACAATGTAAGCCATATTACAGATGAGTGTCTACTACATCTGTTGGCAACTTGGAGCCATTGAAAATACACTAAACAGATTGTGTCCTTGACCTCCTAAAGATGCAAGCTGGGACATCATGGGGGTGGGGTGGGTGGGAAATTCTAATTAATTTATAGTCACTTGAGTTCCTCCGTTTTCTTTTTTATTTTTTTAGTATCTTGTGTTGTCGCGCTCTCATGGCTTTCATGTCCTTCTGGACTAATAATAAGCTGCACTATGAATAGGTGAAGGAGAGGAGAACATGCATAAGACCAATGAACCAGTAATGGAGTGCATCAGTAATAACCGCATCAATGGATGGACAAGGTTAGGGAGGGCAGAGTGCAGTGACGAGGAATTAGTTCAGAGGAAAGCAGATGAAGTGGCATATTTTTCTTCACGTACTTTCTCAAGGTACTGTGCAAAGATTCTCAGCACCAAAAAAACAATGTAGAGTGACTACAGCCAGCATCTACCACACTTGAGGAGCAGAGGGTCTGTCCTGCACCAACTCCCACCCCAAAGTTCTGTGATGGTCAAACACTGGGCAGCACATGCATGTGACCAGCAGCTGCTGGGGAAGGAACCAAACAGGCCATGACCCTCTATTGCCACTCCCAGTCTAATTCCTGGTCTACAGTGTGTGGGTGTGGATGTGGCGTGCCCCCCCCCCCCCCCGCTGCCAAGCGCAGAACACAGTGAATGCTTGTTATCAGGAAAAATGCATTGGGCAGCTCATTTTTAAGTGCTTTCGTGATCTGATGAGAGAAATAATCTCTCTAGCAATTCCTCACCAGTTTAATAATACCCATCTGGCCAAGCCTCCTGTATCTCATGCTGGCATCAGAAGAACCATTTCAGCTCAGTTTCTTCAGCACTGGAACAACACCCCTTCCACCAAATTCATCACAACTCTCAAAACCTGCTTTCCTTTTCTTCTACAGGACACACAGCACATAAGAAAACAACTCAACATCTAGCTCTGAGAGCACCAGCCTCAGATCAGACCCTCTCACAAGGTCACCTGCCAAACTACTCACACCCCTTGCCAAACCAAGGAAAAATCATCAGGAAACACTGTAGTTAGTAAGGATGCTTTTCCACAATGAGAAGGAACATTTTATGCACGTCAGCAATAACCCATACCTACTGTTTAATTAGCTCCCTACTAAAACTCTTAGAAAATGTACCAGAAAGTAACTATTTTCACAGGATAAGTAAAACTGGTGTGTGGGGAATGGAGAGGTCTCCACTGTGCAGCCTCCATCCTCAGCCACCACATAAAGGCAACTCACCACAATGGCAGCTGCATCGCACAGGGGGCCACAATGACAGGACGAAGGGATGCGGTACACAGTGCCCAGTCTGTGCATGAGGGCTTTCCTGGAATGCAAACACAATCTCCCCCACCCCCAACATGGACACGGTGGAAAACCCTTCAGCCTCACCTAGAGATGGAGCCATCGTTGCCATGGGATTGGTGGGATCGAGCTGGAATCCACCCATCATGAACTGTGCATCTGAGGAAGTGCTGTCCATCTTCAAGTTGGGAAGGTTCATGTTCTGTGCCAGGTAGTACTGGTAGAGCTCGGCCTCTGCAGGTGATGGCAGGCTGCCGAGGCCCAGGTGCCGGTTGTGTTGGATTTGGGACATGTTTTGCTGAAGCAGCATCATGTTGTGCATGTGCTTCTCACTGGTCATGTGAATACGGAGGTTTCTAGCTACGTTGGTCTCATAGTCGCACACCTCGCACCGCCATGTCGGTTTGGTTTTTGGTTTGGTGGGAGAGGGGGCCCCACATGTGCTACCAATGTTGGCTGCTGCAGCCGCTGCGGCTGCTGCTGCCGCTGCCGCTGCCCCGGCAGTGTGGCTGAAGACTTGCTCTCCCCCTCCGTTCTGCAGGTTCTGCATGTTGTTGAGATGCTTGTCGGACTGCATATGAATACTGAGGTTGCCTTTGGTAGTAGTGGAGTAGTTACAGACCTCGCAGCGGAAGGGCTTGTAACCACAGGTGTAGCTCTCACCCCGTGCCAGCCGTGGGTGTGGCTGCCCACTTTTGCAGTACACACAAGAGCCACCCGGCTCGGGATGTTTCTCCTTCATGTGCGCCTCAAGCGTCTGCTGGTACTTGTAGTGCCAATTGCACTTGGGACACTTGAGTGTCTTACATGAGTTGCGAGAATGCATCATAGTCATGTGGCCACCCAGTGACCGTGAGGAGCCCAGGACCGTGTCGCACTTTGGGCACTCCACGCCGCTCCCCGAAGGGCACTCCCCACTCCCAAGCTCACAGAGGGGGCCAGCATGCTGGTGATGGGAGATGTAGCTCCCGTCCTCGCCCTCCGCACTCTCATTTGGTTCTGGTGCTGTGGCATTGTCTTTATTGGCACTTTCATCGATAAAGTCCAGCCTCCTGCTGCCCTCTGCCACGCTGGCTCCACCACCCTCATTGTTAAAGCTTAAGTGATTCCTCCTGCTTGCACCATCAAAGACAAAGGAAGAAGCAGAATTAGAACTAGTAGAAGCTGTGCTCCGCGACAGGGTCTGAAGCACATTAGGCATTAAGGGAGAGTTAGAAATGCTTTGGTTTGAGAGAGCAAGGTCCTTTTTGCTGCTGCTACTGCCACCTGCCACAGCCCCAGCATCCTCCTGGGGCCGCTCCTCCAGCTCATCCTCCAACTCACTCGGAAACAGTCCTTTGCAACCCTCATCATCCTCGTCTTCTTCCTCTTCCTCCTCTTCCTCTTCCTCCTCCTCCTCTTCCACATCTTCCTCTTCTTCCTCCTCCACCTCCTCAACTGGCTCTGCCTTTTCCGAGAGGCTGTCCTGCTCGCCCCCCTCTTGCTTCTCCCCCTCTGCCACCCCAAGGTCCTTCCCCTCTGAGGGTTTGGTGGGACTGGAGGCCAGCGGTCCCAGGGGGACTGAGGTAATAGGAGTCTTCAGAGCCGAGCTGGTCAGCCCTCCCAGGTTGAGGAGTGCACCGGGGGCCAGGACGCCCGCTGGCGGTGGCTCTGCTCCACTGGCCGCCCCGGCCTGAAGGGCCTGCTCGCCCTCCATGCAAATGCCACTGAATTTACCATAAAAACTGTGTCCAGGGCCTATGAGGTTAGCTGCAGACACGAGAGGGTGCTGAAAGGTTTTGTTTTTTGGTTCCAGAAAGCTGACAAGGGGTTCCTTGTCTTTGCCTATCCCTTGGATGATAGCGGAGATGTTCTTATTGCTAAGAATTTTCCGCTCCTCCTCACTCAGAGTCATTCGGTGGTCGTGCACTGCGTGGGTCACGAACGAGCGGACATACCCAAAGGACAGCTTGCACAAGAAACACATCAGGATGGGCTTCCTCTTCCCGTAGAGCACAAAGCCATCGAATTTGGACAGGTCCACATTGTTGGGAACATCTTTGGATACGCAAGAGCTTTTGGCAGAACCGTCGCTGTTCAGGTAATCCTTGTTGCTTTTGTGTCGCACATCAAAGACGCGGAAGCTGTGCAGGACGGGGCTGATGCCCGCCAGGGCTGAGGTATTCGGGAAGGCCTGGTCTGAACCCTCAAACCACCTCCCGAAGGATGAGGCTATGTGGAAGGTGTTGATGATCTGTGGGTAGACGGGAGCGGTGGCGGAGGGCTCTCCCTGCTTGGGCAGAGAGTTTGGGAGCAGCGAGGAGAGAGCCCCGCTGCCACAGGCGCCGCCACTCTGCACCAGCTGGCTGAGGCTCTCCACGATGTAGGCTGAGCCGTCAGGCTGGTACACGATCTCGCCGGCCAGGTTCTCCACATCACTCTCCTCCTCCCCGTCTTCACTACTCTCGCTCCCGCTCTCCCCGCGCAGCGGCGGGGCCGGGCGGGCGCCGGCGCAACGGTGCTCCATGTAGCTCTGCAGGCCAGCGAAGGAGGCGCCGCACTGCCCGCAGCTCACCTCCTTGCCGGTGGGCTCGGCGCCAGGGCCAGCCGCGGCGCTGCTCTCGGGGACGTGCTCTGGGAAAGGGACCCTCAGGCTGTCCAGGGGGCCGCGGGTCTCTGCTGCAGGCTGCTCCATGCTGCTGGCTGCATCAGGGAGGTGGGCACTGTTGAGATCAGTCCATTGCTGGTGCTGAGGGATGCCGCACCCATTGTCCTTCCCAGGGATGACAGGTGAGTCACAGCCTTCCATGGCAGGGCCGGCTCGGAGCGCTCATTGCACCCGGTACAGTTCGGACCTGTAGGTGGGGAGAGAAGGGGAAAGGCAGGTGAGTCAGGGAGGACAGACAGTTCCCATGAAGACTTCCCCACCACAAGGACCACCAACCCTGCTCTTGAGGACCAAACAGGAGACTGAGAGAGCTGGTGCCCTATGATGGTCTCCAGGAATGGGCAATAATGCACTGCTGGAAATGAGCAATGGAAACACAATGGAAGGAGGAACACAAAAGGCAAGACAAAGGGACCTGGGAGGTGGTGAAAACCTCCCCGAAACCTTTCCTGAACCAGGGAAGTGTAGGACCTGCACTGCCGCACCCAAAGTCTTAGATCTTCAGAAAACAAAAATGTAGCAGAAAAGCTTTTGACAAGAATAAAGTTAAGACACTACAACAGAATGGTGCTGGAGCTTAAAAATGTTGTGAGAATGGTACTCTGTGACTCGCTAAGCCAGCTGCTGTTACTTTATTTTTGGGTGATTTCTTCTCTGACCAGTTCGGAGAAGACAAAAACAGAGCTACCACACGGGCACCTCCATGGCAGACCACAGGACCCAGAGCAACTCACAGAGATTTCATAGCAGCAGCATTTGGCATGCACAGGAGATTTAATTGCTGTGTTCTGGACAGAGTTTAAACAGAGACACATCAGGAGAGAAACCAAACAGGAAATTCCAGATCTGACAAGGGTCCATCCCGGGGATAGGAAAGCAGGCAGCCCACCATGCTCCAGGAAGCTCCTGAAGATGCTACAGGGCACAGCCTCCGTACACAGACAGAGGCTTCCTCTCACCCCCAGATGAGACACACAGCTGATTCAGGTCCTAGAGGAGAAGTGAGGACACCCTTCCTACTACTTCTGTTCCACCAAATACAATGAGAGCTGGGGAACTCAGCCAGAGCACGAGCAGCCAGCAAGCAGGGGCTGCTGAACATGGCCAACATAGGTGTTTCTCAACCATTTCTACCCCTTTTGCTGCACCCTGTCAGCGTCTCTGGCACTGCAATCCTGACAGAGCCAGGCAGGATGTGCCTTTCTAGAGGTTACAGACCTAAGAGATTAGGGACTGCTACTGTTAAGAGCTGGACCATTGTAAAGTAGACCACAAATAAGCAGGGGATTGCCAGTTCAGTTGCAACCCTACCACAACCCTGTCTGCAAAGAAGCATTTCTATAGTCGGCTTTCTATAGAGACCTCCTGCACAAGCCACACAGGAGGGAACACCAGCAAAAATTAAAGCACTATTACCTCACCTGTAAAAGTGATTTTTAACCTATGGTCCACAGATTTCCTCACGTATACAGATGCAAAGGATCCATAGAAAACAACCAAGGAACAACTGTGCAAGCACAGGCCAACTTCATCACACAGAAGAGTCACGCTCCAGATCTGTGGTCATCAATGCCACACAGGAAATCTTCCACAATACTTATCTTTACAACTGAGCACAAGTACTACTTCGCTCATCAGACTATTCCCAAACTGAATATGTATGGGGAAGGTTTTTGCTGATACTCAGTGTAAGGGTTTGCGGGGCAGGGAGGGTTTTAATTTAACAATATGCAGCTGCTCTTGAACTGACTGACTGGATTTTAAGTAATACATTTAAAGTTTATAAATTCTTTCTAAGTCTTTCTTGAAATCTCTCTCATTGACTACCTCTTCTTCAAAGTTGCTCTTACCTGAGCATTCTCCAAGTAGCTGCTGCTTCTGCTCATGAGATACACCAAGCGGGGCGCAGTGCTGGAGCTCTGACTAGACTGGACTATTAGTGGGGACCCTCTCACTCCCTTCTGAGACTTGTGTAGGGACCAGCTGGCACCTCGGGGCTTCAGGGATCTGCCTTCGATGCCTCCAGCCACATTAGCTGCCTGCTGCCACCCCTGGGCTCTCGCACCACAGACTATCAGCGTCTTGGCAATCTACGCTACTACCTAAAAGTCAAATATTATAATTGTAGTTTGAAAGTGCTTCCAGTGCTCCCCAGCTTGATTTCAGCCCATGTGGCATGGAAGACCCCTGCGATCTCCAGCAGAGCAGTGTGCTGTAAGACAAGCGACCTTTCCCTGTGTGTCTGCCTGCCCAGTGCATGCTGCACACAGTTACTGCTGTACAAACACACAACTGGTACATAAATATCTGGGAAACACCAGAAAAAATACAAAGAGAACTGAAGATTTGCCAGAGAAGGTGCAAAGTAGGTAACATGCCACAGCAGCACTGAATGAATTGCCCAAGTTAATTCAAGCAAAAGAAAATGGAGCAACATTCAATGTTCTTTTTTTCCTGTTTTCGTATCACATGAAGGCATCTATATTTTTTCTGATTTGCCTTCATGTGTCCATTTTTTTCCTGTTTTACTGCTGGTGAAGCTTGAGAAAAAGTATTTACAACTGCTCGTGAAGGTGGAAGTTAACATTTCCCAAAGTGAGCGCAGTGAGGATTCTGATAGAAGGACATGGAGATGCAATGATGTAATAATCCAAAGCATTCACACACACTATTACCTTACTGCATTTCCAGCCCCCACTTTCCTTGAATTCTATGCCATACACAGCTGTCTTTGTGGTTGCACTGGGAATAAACAGTGATTTTGAGTTGCAATAAAAATAACCTGGTGCACTGAGTGGAACAAGAACGAAGAGTACCATAACCCTGTTGCCAACGGGCTTAGCCTTCTTCATCAGCCTGTTTTGCTTACCTTAGCTAAAACACTTCAGCACAGCACTGTGGCAGCTCTTACTTCACCAGCTCTCTCCCACTGAACATTTGTCCTTAGCTGTGTGTTTTCTTTAGACTGATCCCAGATCCTTCTGTGTTAATGCTGCATATTCAGCCTCCCACAACATGACGTACTCTATCAAGCTCACTGTTACTTTTTGCAGTGACAACTGCAATCCAAATTAAACTAAAGCAAGTTCATATTGGGTGGAAAAAAAAAAAAAAGAGTAAAATAAGAAACTCTCTAAACCCCATACTTCTGCCAAGTAAAGTTTTGGAAATACCTCTGCAGACCTCAAAATGCAATGCGGAACAAGAGCACCCCACAGATGCTTTTAGGCAGAAAGTGTTCAGGCAGCACCCCAGAAAATACAGCTAGGTGAGATATGACACGAATCTGAGTGTCTCCATCATCAAGAACTCTTGAATGGCAGGAAGATGCTCGACTCACAGTTGGGCCAAAAGGGTGACTGGGGCTGATGGGGTGGGAGGGTTAACAGACTGATTGTAAAATCAATGTAATAAATGCTTGGTAAGTTACAGGAACATGCGGGAAGAGGAGGCCGCGATTGATAAAGGACTGCAGCTTTGATGCTGCACTGGGGACTTGTTTATTGACAAGAAAGCCAATCCCTTCTCCCGGCCAGGCCAGACTAGGCAGATCTGTGAGCACTGACGAATTAATTGGTGGGCTTTTCTACCTTGGGTTGCTTTATCCTCTCTCCCCTCAACTCACTCCATGTTAACCAGTTCAGGAGGTGCTACTCCAAAGGAATCTTTCTCTCCTCCCCCTTTCCTTGTCACAGAGGAGCCCTTACAGAACAGGGGAAAAAAAACACAGCCAAAACATGGCCAGCCAGAGCCCCTGGACACAGGCTAAGCCCCTAGACAAATTCAAGCTTTTCCTGCCTGCTCAGTCTATTAACAAGAGCTACTCCTGCAAAACTATGCTCATGAGGAAGAGGAACAGGAATACTTGCTCCTATTTGCACCGGAACTGCACATATTGTCCCTTTAAACTGAAAAGAGCAATTCCTGTGCTAAAGCAAACCAGACTCCAAGCAGGAGTACAATGTAGTTATTAGTCCACTATTATGGGCCCTGTATCTTCCTCTATCCGAGACCACGCCTCATCGACCCTCATGGGACAGGGGGTTCTTGCGAGGACAGACCGATGATCCACACCTCCCACCCACTCCCCACCCCCAGCCCTCTCTGCTCTGTTTATCAGACAGTCAATAAGAAAAGGTAGTTCTTACTTAAGGAGGCAGAAGTCAACTTGTCAGGTCGATCAGCACTCTGTCTGTAAACATGGTTTCCCGTAAAATCAATGAACTCCAGTTACAGAGAGAACAGCCTGAGTGCTGGAGACTCCCTGTGTTCCCACCAGTGGGAAAAGGCTCTCCTCAATCCCTTCTCTGGCCTCACATCCCAGTGCTGCTCCCAGCACTGTGCTCACCATACCACTGGCACACAGCCCACCCAAGCCCCTACTCCTCTACAGCATCACTGCATCTTGCAGTCCCTCCAAGCAGATTTGGGTCCTGGCTGGAGGACTTTCAACACCGCAGGGGAGAGAGCAACAGCCACAGTGGTCCAGAGCCGAGCTACCTCTGGATGGGCCAGCGCAAATGAAAGCACTGTATGCCCCCACGCTTTCATCAAAGAGTTTCCACTTACCACAGCTAGTGGTGTGCAGCCACGCTCTGTCCAGAACACAAGTGGAGTCGACTCCCCCATCTCCCCCCTCCCTGCCCCATCTTCGCAGAGACAGACATGTCATCTTACAGCAGCGCTTCCACCACCAAGCAGCAGCTGGTGCTGAAGCAACACCCTCAGTCCCAGCAGGCTGGGGGCTCCTGGGGACCCTGGGCCCACCGTACCAGGCTGCTCCCCCCAGTGATGTGGTGTGGGCGGTGGAGGGAGGGCTCCTGCTGCTGCCCAGGCTTCCCGAGAATTAAATATGAACAGCCGTGCTGTGTTATTTTAAATTGTTAATTAGCACAGGGTTAATTACGCGGCCCTTTCACAAGAGGCTGTTTGGCAGTAAACCAAGACTGGAAGCAATGAGGAAGGAGAAAAACAAAAGGAGAAAGAGACAGTGAGAAACTGTTCCCTCAGCTAATGACCCACATGGCACCATGAAAAAAGAAAGGGTGCTGAGGACAGGGAAAAGATACAAGCAGATGCATTACATCTATGGCCATTACCCTGGAAGATACCCAGAGAGGCAGCCCTCCCTCTGCCTATTCCCACAGCTGCACAGTGGAGAGAAGTGCTCAACCCTGTAATGAGCAG